ACTACGAAAACACACACAAAAAAAAAAAAAAAAAAACGTAGCGTATTCGCGTGGAATAAAGAGAAACAGAAACGTAAGAAATTAATTAGGAAAAAAAAGAAATTGAAGAAATTTTCCAATACCAATAATCGCCAAGTCGTATCCTGCGTCGTGCAACGATAAACTTCATTTGAGTATACTCCAATTATCTTAGCACTAGTACTATTAAGTACCAATAAGCGCACCAATCATCACGACATCACTTTCGACTATTTCTCTCGTTTAAAACAGTTATTCCGTATTTCTGCTGTAGGCTGATCCCAATTTAATATACTGTTCAATTTTTATCTTTATTCGTCCATTATATTAAGACAGGAAGGGGGACAGTTTATACGTTAAATCGCGTTTCTGATCCGTCAGCAAGCATCAGCGTAACTGTTCGGTTATTTATCCATATCAATCGAGCTAGTCGCATAGGATTCAGTCGCGCTACGTCGTTGATCGGTGCGGTGCTATACGATTTCACGCAACGTGTTTGAGAGTTCCCTAGGCCGAACATGCCACTACTCGTTTGCTGAAAACGTTCAACGTTAAGCTTAAGCTTAAAATTCTAAAATTAACTGTCGCCGATGTATAAGTTGTAATAATAATAATAACAATAATAATAATAGAGAAGGTCTTACCTGCCAGAAGCACAATTTATTTTCCGTACAGGAATAACTAACCAGGAACTTGCCTTCGGGTGAAAACGCCAACGCAGTTACGGGCGCAACATGCGCAGACACTGTTTGACATTTAACGTTGCCTCGTAGTTCGTACAAAGCTAGCTGACCATTGCGACTACCTACCGCTATTCTGCGTGTCGTCGGACAGTGACTTACCTGAAGCAGACGTGTATTTTATCAGCCAAGTGTTTAAAAAAAAGAAAAATCATGCAAATAACGTCAACGTTACCGTGGCTCAACCTACTTGATTGAATCTACATACTGCCGGGAACACGTCGTTCAATGGTTTGGTCTTGAGATGACCCGGGTCCAGACAATGCAAAATAATATCCATGACCTGCAAACGTCGATTCAATGCGTTAAACGGGCAACGTTTAGGTTCGCGGTGATACGAGCGATTCTCACTCACCTCGACCAACAGATCGCTCATCTCGCTTTGCATTTTATCAATCAACTGTTCGACGATCCTAAGTATTTCCGGTTTTGCTCTAACCAAGACGCTCGCGCCCATATTTACATTCAACGTTTGCGCGTTTTGCTGCAACGTATTGTATCTGGCTACTTCTCGCGCCATCGTGGTAATGAATGCCGCAGGTCGAGCGGTAGCTATCAGAGTCAAAGCGTGCCTGGCTGTACGACAGGTGTCGGCTTGAGGCGTAAGTGGAAGGCCGTACGTCATGTTTGGTACTAGCTTGTCAGCGTCGCAACACATTTCTAACAATCCCAGCAACACCTGCGTCAGACAGCGTGCAAATCAACATGCAATTCACCCTTTCAATCGTAAATTACGACGAGTTTAATTTTATAAGCTTTTTTTCGATGCTTCTCACTTTCGATACGTCGAGATACGGTTCCCAGACGGTGAAACCTCTGCCGATAAGATCAATCGCGGCTCTTCGCAATGCCGTGTGCAAAGGCAATTTCGGAGAGTGAGGTGCGTGCAACAAGTGCGTGAGCGCCATACTAGTGTGCCTGGCAAGATTGTTATTTCCTATTCCAAAACCTTCCACGATCGAACTCTTTCGTCTCTGTTCGTTGTCTCTCTTCTGACTCGTAGTGGTGACGTCTTGCCCAAACTCCGCGCCTATCACTCCCAGCAATACGACTGCCGTCGTCTGCTTTCGTTTCAGTTCCGCCACGCTCGATGGTTTCCTAACTACGTTTATTTCTGCTAACGTAGGCAAAGTAATTAAACCGAGTTTAATAATCCTCCAAAAAACATCTTTTACGCTACGAGGTGGTTCTTACCTTCGACCAGTTCCTCTTCCTCGTCCTCCTCCTCTGCGTGCGATTCGGACGGAGGAACTGGACTACCAGAAGTCGGTGGGCTTTGATTCTGCGACTGCGACGACACGATGGGCTCTTGAGTGCTATACATTGGCAAATACTGCGACCAACTGTCTACCAGCGTTTTCCTTCCTTTTGGACCCATTCTCCCCAATTCAGCCAGGAGTAAAGCTTGAGCAGCTTCGCGAATCTAAAAAAAGTATACCATGTGTTATTTTGTGTGTATCATTTGTGCATTTTTTTTGTTTTTTTTTTCCCCATACACGTCAGTGCCAACGAACGAACCTCGAGACATTGATGTTGCCATCTGCGAGCCATCATTTCAACTTGAGGTCGTTTAAACGTTTTAACGCCACCTTGCGAGACTATCTTGTCGGGCAAGAGTACACAATGCAACGTCGCCAAGAGGGACCAGCCTTGCTTGATCTGCGCTTGTTGCGCTGTATAAATTTCCTCATTTTCTTCTTCCGCTTTGTTCCAATTAACCGTCGATCTATTGCCAGGCCTAAATACATCGAATAAGATGCACATAAAATTCGTATTTATCTCTGATTGTTTCTAATTATATCTAGCGAAACAAATAACGTATCTATCGACCTATGCATTTTTCGATTTCGTTCTTGTTCAGGTACAAAAGTGGCATTGTTCATCGACATTAAGGTATTTGCTAGTGCTACCACTGCTAATAAATGATTGCTAGTTAACGTAGTAGATAATTCCCAATGTGCCCTTGCTGTGAACGCTCTGGTAAGTCTTTCCTGTCTAACTAACTCGACTGGCAAACGTTGCTCCAACTGAGTTGCAGGTTCGCCAATCGGTTCTAACTGCGTTTGCCAAGTTGGTAGTAACAACGACATGTAACCTTTGAAAAATAATTGACTGACTGAGTCGTGAAGAACGATTACACAAGTACATTACAAACCAGATCACAGTCGCTTCCATACCTCCTTTCGACAATACGCCAAACGAGACGGGAACCATGGGTCTCAATAAGCCCAACTTTCCTTCGCAAACGCGATCCAAGTCTGGATCGATACCCCAAGCGTGCAACAAACTCAATATAAGCTGAGCAACTTCCATGGTTGCGTTTGGCTCGCTAAACGTCCCGTTCCGTTTCAAATTGTTCTTCGTTGCCTCGCTATTGTTCCAATTGTCGCCTGTAAAAAAATAAAATCTTGTGAACAATTGTGAATTCGTTATTCCCAAATCTACAGAAAAAAAAAAAAAAAATACATCGAGGTAATAAGATGTAACATAAATATTTGCAACTTGAAAATGTTTAGTACATTCTCACATACATGTCAATTTTTCAAGAATAAAAATATCAAAACGAAAATGTATTAATATTTAACAAGATGTTTGTGAAAAATTTTTAAACAACGTGTGAAACATTAATGCATAGAACGATGAAGATGAATCGAAACGAGTAAAACTACGTTTAAAAAAAAAAAATTAATTGGCTAATTTGATAATCACAGTATTTTATAGTCACACTACGAACTTTGACTTGACCTGTGTAAATAAAAACTGCAACATACGAATTTTAAATACATTAATTAAAAAAAAAAAAAAACGAATAAAAACAGATACAAATATTATAAAAGTACTATTCACAAAATGTACAACATCTATAAAATACAATTTCAACTGCTTGCACTTTGGAAATATTTTTGCAACGCATTTTTGCAAAAACAAAAACATAATATTATGCGTTTGCTAAATGATACCTTAAACAACTGGAACATGGTGCTTAAGATAAAATTAGCAAAACTTTCAGTTGCTCAAATTTTGAATGCTTAAGCAAATAATGGATACATTTAACGTGAAGAAAAGAAAAGAGAATGGAAAGCAGATGACAAATCTAAACTAACAACAAAAATCCATGCCACGTAATTCGATAGTAGAGAGTACAATAATTTTGCCATTTCCTTAAATCATGGCTAACCTTTGCCGTCGAGAGTCGACGGCTTGAGGCCAACGCTTTCCACCTTGGCCTGAATCTTAGTATGTACGTTTTCTGCGCCTTCCTTCATCTTAGCCAATATACCTACAGAAAGAAATTGGCTTTAGATGCTATAATAAACGAGTATCTTTGTCAACATGAATCCTCTAACTATAATGTACTAAAAGTTCTTCTATGAGTATATGCATGAAATAAGCATTGCAAAAGTGAAATATTATCAAACATTAGAAGTAAATCAAGAATAAAAAGAGCTAATTCACGATAAAATAGCTTCTTGAACGTAACTTCAACTTAATCAATATAAAAAATATTAATTGATCAAGAGTTTTAATGTAAACGTTGGAAATTAAAAAAAAAGTAATGTATTCGAAACAAACTTTGTTTTTATACTAGAATCGTACAGAACGACAAAATTATTTGCCACGATTTTGAGAGATGATTTTACACCTTTGGAGATTATTGAAGGTTTTGTTTTAAAAAGTGAATCGTGAAATTTAGCATAATTTTCATTTTGTGATCCTATTCAGGAACAATTCAACCATTTTGTTAAAAAAAAAAAAAAAAAAATGTTAAAGCACTATTAGTAATCCACTTTTTAAACAGATTTCCACCAATCCATAAGTGTTGAATCATCTCCCAAAGCCACAGCAAAGAATGTTTTCATGTTCTGCACTCTGAAAGTGTGTCTTTAAAAATATATCATCTGTGTACATTGCAAAACATGCAACAAAATGTTTTAGTATGCATGAATATTATATCGAATTGTTTGCACTAAAAACGTAATGTGCAGAGTAAGATCGACAACTTTGTGCGAGATTCTTGTTTTTCTACAAATATATACAAAACAAAACAACAAAAAAATAAAAAAAAAAAGAAAATACATATAAACTACAATTTACAAAATGAAATTGTAACAACACAATACCGTGACGATCCTTTTCCTTTAAAATTCGTTCAACGTCGCCTGCCTTATCCTTGACGCGACCGAAAAAGTCTATAAAGTGGCATGTTAGTGCAAGTTTTTTTTATTACGAATATCAACTAAATTCAAAGTCAATATCTGTACTTGTGAAAAGGCAATAACGTCAAACAATATGTTTACCTGCAATTTTTTTATGGGCGTCTGGACTAGCAGATTGCGTAAGTGCTGCAACTTTTTGATATTCAGAGGCTGAAATAAGACCCTGCGCTTCCAAAGAACCAGGTGACATTGCTCCATACTCGTCGTTAAGTAATTGTACTATGTAAAAAAAAAAAAAAAAAAAAAAAAAAAAAAAAAAACCGAATGTATTTGACTAAACTGATAAATTACAAATATATTTCACGTCCGGAGTCAAGATCGACGCGCAACATACATTATGTATAGATGCTACTGATCGAAAACAAATCGTGGTATTGTAAGTTTTACCGATGATTCAATAAGAATATTTATGCGTTGAATAATACATCTATAGTTGTGCAACGAAAGAATAATATTTCACTTTCGATGATGTGATAATATTAATTAATTCTTGCAAGAGGTCTTTAGAATGTATCATTAAAAATTGCGTAAAACCTTAGAAGTAGAAATGTGTTTGAGGTTTTAGGAGTTCCTAAATCTTAGATATCGTTCGGCCCAGATCTCGATACGCGACTTTCGTGGGTGAGGTTGGACGGCCAGGGGGGAGGGAGGCGTAGGTACAAGGCTTCCTTTAAGCTCTATCGATTCGGTCGAAAGACGAATTACAATGCGATGAGGGCTGTTATGACGGATGCCTCGGCACGTAAGGCCTCCTTTACGAATGCATCCCGTACGTGGATTGCCTCGCTCAATTAGCAACGCGTGGAGATTAGACGAGCAAATGAATCGTACGAAAGGCGATTTATAAGGAGGATAAGCAAATGAGTGTGAATTTATCGATCAGTAATTTTAATTAGATAACGCTCGAGAGAGAGAGAGAGAGAGAAAGAGAAAGAGGAATTCTAATTTGAAACCTATACGATTTTTAAGGTTCGTATCGTTCGATATGCTAAAAACGGCCAGCGAAGTTGAACGAGGTAAACGTGCTTTATTTGTTGTTCGCGATATTTCACTGTTTGTTGCGTAACACGTCTGACGACTCATAAGCCCGTTTTAGAGTACAAAGAATTTTACACGTGTTCGCTACAGGCATCCGAACTGAGTAATTGCATACCCTGTGCAGTTTAATCTATTTTAATCGTGACATTTTCGTGTTGCAATTGTTTGATCTGCGTTTCCAGCAATCGCGAGAATTGATCCAACGATGCGAACGTTCCTCGTGTTCTTTTTTCTTTTTTTCCTTTTTCATTTCTTAACCTCTTGCGCTGGAATGACGTGCCACGCACGTCGAGAATAATTTGGCCCAAAATTGCAACATTTGCTCAGTTTTAAGTATATTTAAATGTAACCCAGGCAAAACAAATAATAAATTTATTACTTCTTAGTAATTTCTATCGGGTGATATATCGATGAATTCAGAAAAAGAAAAAGGCGAATTATTGTACACGGTTTGGTCACTTGTTATGGTCCGCGAATCAGTTACTAGCGCAAGAGGTTAAGACGAAGGTAAGCTTGACGCGTATTTTCTTTTTTCTTTTCTTTTATCGTCGATTGTTCAGTTGTCGACGGAGCTCGCAGCTCGTAATATTATTTTTACTCGTTGATAGATGGCGATGCCATGCGTCAAAGCTCGGCCGCCATCTTTATGAAATTACTCGGAATGAGAGCTAATTGAGCGTTCGAAACGCGTGTCACGGTATGTACTATGTAATTTGTTAACGCCGTAAATAAAGTGATTTATTGTTTTGACTCGCCGTTTCGCTTAAACAGTAGCATGTTGCACATAGTTTTTGTCTTATAGGTACGTATGTTTTAAAGAGTAGTATATTATACTAAGAATATAGATACATAAGGAAATAAAAATTGTAAGCATCACAGTCATACTTACAATACTCTGTTGTTCGTTTTCCATGTTTAATTAATTTGTTTGCTCTTTATGAAGGAATAAGAAGGAAAAGCAGATAAAACGATTCAACTTTCAATAAATATCATAGTTCGTGGACCAGGAGAATAAAATTTTTGTTAGGTATACCAATTATACTAACATACATATTATACGAATTACGTATATATCTATAGCGAGAATTGTAAAATCTTATTGCATTTTTTGCATTATTAGCAAGCAGTATTAAAAGTATCACATAAGCTCGGTGCATTAAATGGTACAATACCTTCTGAGAAGCACAGTCGAAGGTGAGATTCACTAATCAGCAAACATAATTCATCATTTAGGTCGGTAATACCTACCGATAATTTTTCTGAAAGCAACGAACTAACGTTCTCTTATCTAGCAAAGCACAAGATCTACCATTCACACAAAGATTCGTATTCAATGCAACAAAATATTAAAATATGGCGATAAGAGATTGCATAATTCAGTCGGATTACAGAAAATGTATAACGAGAAAATGTTTAACTCATTATTATTGATTGTGCACTTTTGGTTGGTTAAAGGTTGGTTGTTTAAGTTTTGGTACGTACTGGGAAGGTATTATCTTGTTAAATCGTCCGCGATAATCATCCACAAACTCGCGTGATAAGAGAACGTTACAACAACTCTCCGCGGAAAATTATTATCAATATGATTTCTTCACAAAATGAAATGATATCGGAAAGATGATAGTGAATTCCTGTGGTTTGTACCACCCACAAGTGCTGCCGGTGCTGTCAGTCAACGGTGAAATCTCGATAGACGCATGACCCTGCGTCATGATTATTTGAAAATTTCGGTGGCACGCTGTTTTATTTACGTTACTCGGGGAAATATGTCGGCAGTGTCGTTGAACGTTGGGAGAGTTCGCAAGTACTCTCTGATGCCATATTTGGACCGATGTCCAGAATTTCATGGAACGTACAAGGTAGTTGAAATCATTATATCTTCTATTTTGAAATGAACGTGTAAGACGTCTCTTCTGTAGTTCATCGTAATTCTCTGCGTCTTGACTACAGATAATTCCTTCTTCATATTTATTTTAATTAACCTAGGGGAAGATGAATTAACTCGGACCATCGATCTTCCGGACATTGCAATAATCTCTCTATTGAGAAATTCACGCAGCATATTTCCGTTTCAATAACTTGTTTCCACAGATGTGTTTGCTCTTTTCGCTTAGAGATTAATTTGATATTGAGAGTTATTTGACCGATTGTCAATTATCAGGTTACTGGTTGGTTCTTGTTGGTTTGACAGATGTGACGAATTTAATATGTAATTTATCTATTATACATGAAGTTTCTATAATTTGTTTAAATGAATGAGTACGCACAGTATTCATTAATATTATCACTTCATCTCTTAATTTTTCGTTCTAATATTATTGTGCTACTCCAAATATTATGCTACATTTAAATAATTTATTATTGCAAACAACGAGTTTGTCGTGAAAGTAAAACGCAATTATTAGGTATAATTCTGCTAAAATATTATATTTCTAATTTATAAATGTGGTTTATGATTTTTGGGTCTTATTTTTCTTTCGCTGTTTTTTTTTTAGTACGTTGTTAGTACTGATTTCTTAAAGTAAAACTCGCGAGTTTCAATAGCTTTGAAGTGTTCTTCGAAAAGACAATTTTATCAGGAAATCCCCTCATTAGTGTCTTTAAAAATTGTATTACTATAAATGTCTTCTGCTGATATTTGGCAATCTTATCTAACTGTGTTCTATCCATCATTTATCATTAACAAATTGCACATGATTACAATAAGAGTACAATATTCTCACCGAATAAAAAATGTACTTTTTTAAAGTACAATAAAATTTAAATAAATTAGTTCACTCATTTATTATTTACTCACTATCTAAATTCTGAATAATACAAATATTTTGCTCTCTAAACACTTATTTAACAAAATTCAATACTTTAAGAAAGAAATAGAAATATATATAGAAATAGAAAGAGATTAGTTAAGGTAATTATAAATTTTTAAATTGCTCTCAACCTTTTCCTACTTTTCACTACGATTTTTCCAAACCTAAACATATGTAAATATATTTCATAGACAATGAGTTTTGTGATCCAATCCATTTCACTTATTATCTGATACATTTTTGACAAATGTTCAAAGTGGCCAAGACATTGTTTACTTTTTGAGTAACTGACATTGTTGTTATTTATTATCGTTGGCACTCGTTTCTGTATTCTCTAGGAACTGTCTTTCTTTTCCGGATATTGAACGACTGAACAATAACCCGGTTATAAGCGTCCGCCAACTGACTATTTATTTTCATATAAATATATATTGGTTTGTCATGTAACCAACTTGTATCTTTTAATTAACAATTCGAGAGTCGACTTTACCTCTTAACTTATATTTCTTTGACAAGATGACAAAGCGAGTCGAATTTCTTGCAGCCTAGAAAAATGTCTTACAGTGAATTATATTATATTGAGCATATGTATGTAATAAGGAGATAAGAAATGAAAACAGATGACGCGAGTGAAAAATGACGTTTCTGAAAATACCGTGAAATATGAATCAGTGAAAAAGATAACTGAAGAGAAAGTGTGAAAGGATTGATACTGCTGCTGCAGTTGTATTTTCGTTTCAACAATCACTCTTGTTTTGACGTAAAAAAAAAAAACTTTTAACGTTTAAAGAACTAAATAATTTGCTTACGTCTAATTTATTTGTTATTAAATCTCAAATTAAAGTAAAGAACTACGATTCATTTTGCAATCTATGAATAAACTTTTGGTTCCAGAGTACAATTTCTACTTGCAGCTTATGGCTTGTAAAGCAGTTTCACTAGTAATAGAAGTTCAATTGTGGAAGAGAATTCAGGCCAGATCTTTCCAAATGTTATTTCACGAACGTGGAATTTCTTTTGGATCATTTGTGAAACGCAAGTGGATCGAGATCGTCACAATTTAATTTTCCTTACTATTTTTTACTGCCAATTTTAAACTAGATTTATTTCTAGTTTCATAATGCCTATATATTTGTTACGAGCTGCACCACGTAGTTCACGTGGTCTTATGTCAGACGTCAGACAAACGGCAGCGTTGATTCAAAACGTCAGTCGAGCTCGGAACACTAAGCGAAATGAATCGCGATTTTCAAAATGTACTCTTGCTCGGTCGATTTAACGAAACCGGTAAATTGCAATTATTAAATCACAATTGGATAGACACGTAGATTTCACGAGAAATCGCGATCGAAATTATGTTTCATAGAAAATCGAACCATCAATAGAACAACAGATC